ATAGTCGTAATTAAAATAATAATTCGACCGGCGGTAGCTGCTGCGTTATTGCAGCCTGCAGGTCAATACAAATATTGGTAATTGGTATTTGGTATTGGTAGCGGTAAAATACTAAAATGTAGCGGAATACAAATTGTATTACCAATGCCGCGGCGGCACCATCATGATAATATAATTTATCCGTATAATAAGATGAACTATAATAAAGTATGAGAGGGGGTAATTTAAACATTTATTATTATATTATTTGCATTCACGTTTGTCTATTAAACGTCTTCGGAGTTCGGGTTGTTAACGCCGATAAGGGATTCTAATTCAACGTTGCCAAATTTAACTATACACATGTTGTCATTTAATAGTAATAATAATATTTATTTTATATTTTTCATGACGTATGAATAATTATCATTGAGTAATAATTGTACCCACTTAGCCACCTACATACCTACCTACATTTTTTTGTATGTATTTTAAAAAGTACTCAACCGATTTTAGTCTAGTTTTCAGTTTTCACTCATGGGTTGGCCTAGGTCTTGGGGAAGATTCGAATGTGTAATATGCCCACAGATATAAAATACAGATATTTTATATCTGTGAATATGCCTTAAAAAAATATTTGAATGCCGAAAATAATAAAAATATAAATAATGAAATGCTGTTTGTTGTTAATATAGCATCACTTGAGAACGGCGGGATCGATCGGGCTCATTTTTTTTAAACCTTCGGAATAGTTTGAATAAGGTTTTAAAGAAAGACAAATTGGAATAGTTTCCCTGAAAATTAAAAAAATCTGGGAAAACTGAAAGTGCTTTATTGACTGTCTAGTTGACCAACGTAGAGCTTCTTAAACTATGATATTATAACTTTCGCTATTTTTAGCCATGAGATATTTTCGATTTTTATTAATTTTTTTTTAAAGTGAGTCATGAGTACCTTTTAAAATATGTACAAAGCTGTATAAAAAAAAGCCTGTTCTTTTATATATCTATATAAGGATAATTATAAGAAATAAAAGTGGTGAATTATGTAATTATATATTGCGTGCCAAGTGCAAACACATTCCCATTGACTATTTGGCCCTTGCGACTTGTCTCACGTGGATGACTGGATAGGTATAAATGTATAATTGCCATCGAGACTGCCTTAGTGCCATATTTAAGAAACATAAAGTCTTAATAAATACACACGTGTCTTTTATACAGTGTACAATACTACAAAGTAGGAACTCAGGAAGTACAATGCGAGTATGCGACTCGTACATTTTTTTTGAAATATAAATACCTACGTATATTATGTTACTATATATATAACCTAATCCTAAATTCAATTTAGACATTACAACTTTGTAATAAGTTTATTTATAAATAAATATAATATTTATTTTATAAGTATGTGAGTATATTAGATAATTGATTATAAAATTATAGTATTATAGTATATTTTACTATTTATAATCAATGGTAAGACGTGTGTGTTATCGTATTCGTCCGACTGGTGTGTTGGAAATACCCAAAATAAATAACATTCATTGTCATATTAATCAAATTGCAATGGTGAATAGGGTCTACTGAGTAGATATTGTCAGTACTAGGTATCGCATTGTCGCTGCACGTCACTGTACATTTACACACTGCACACTAGCAAATCGGTCGTCAGTCGTCAGTGGTCAAGTACATTCTATATTCAAATCTCCAATTCTCAATTATACCTCTGCATAACGTTCTTCGATACAATTAATAATTCTGTACTATTGCTCTAGAAAAATGATTTAACCATTTTTTATTCAACGTAGTTTTTTTATTGATTATTTAGTCATAATGACATTATTGCAGTAGGTACTGCATTAGCTAAGTGGAAATCGTAATCCAAGGTTATGACTTATGTTATTATTTAATTCGCTTCACTATAAAAATTTTATATTTCAAGTTAATATTTTAAGTGTTTACGTAAAAAAACAAAGTTGCAATCATAATCAATTTTATCAAATAGGTAAGTTTAAAGTTTAAATTATATTTAAGACGAATTTGACCATATTCAGGAGGTTTAATTAATAATCTTCGAATTTTTACTTGCTAATAGATGATTTAGAGACCTGTCACACACAAAAAAAAAGCAACAGCCTGTTCCAACTGGTTGTGTTAATTAATCTGTTGTAAGTACCTACTCATCATAATAATTAACTATTAAATTGTAATGCATTCATGCAAAATAATTATGACATTTATATTTTAAAATTTAATTTATTACAGTGAATAAAAATATATACAAACTTGGATTGATACTCAGTAATTTAAATTGTTTTGATTCTTAAGTAGATAAATTAAAAAATCTATTTTTACAGACTAATGATTATTATAATTAGGTAATTCTGCATTCAGCTTAAATTACAATAATTTTTAAAAAATAATTCCTGTTTTTTAGAAGAGTGTTTAACACTATAATATATTACTATGGCTGTCCATCGAGCGGGGACGAAAGGAAGATAGCACATGAGCTTTTTTCAATATTTCTAATAACTGAATTTGGGATACTTTTGGTTTTTAAAGTAAGTTTCTAATTATTGTAATATAGACACATCGTAGGTTTACAATCATTTTTATTTTATTTATTATTTATTCATTACATTACATTATTATTTATTACAAACCTTCGGGCTTTGGCTAACACGGAAATACAAAATATTAAATAAAACTATTATTCTGTTATTGTAGTTGACAATAATATTTTTCCAACCAAATATTTTCAATAAAAATAAAATATTTGAAATTAAAAACAAAAGTATTCAATACAAAGAAGTATTTAATACGTAAAACAGTATTTAAAATACCATTCAAAATACTTCATGCTGAAAGTATTTAAAAAGTTATTCAATACTTAAAAAAGTAATACTTTACAGGACTGCCTATGCGGCTTTAAGGCTATACCTATGGTATACAACTAACAATGAATTATATTTCTAATGATCATGTAGTGTATGTTAAAAGCTATATCACCCTACAAAAAATCATTTGACTACCAACAATCGAGAATATTAAACAATGCTCTATAAATATGTCATCTTAAATCATCCCCAAAATATTGAGTAGCAATTTTTTTTAAGCAATTCACAACTTAAATAATATTAGGATTTCAATTTTTATATTGTTATGACTCAAAACATTTATTTTTACTAACTAAGTGTATTAACACATGTTTATTTACTTCAACAAAATTATGAGTACCTACTTTGCTACTTATGTTTGATAATATTATATAAGGTTAGGTATTATTTTTTGCAAACCCTATGATATAGGTATTTCTTTAATTTTAGATCCTGAGAGGAGCGAAAAAATTTATTGATTTTACAATGATGTGTTTTATTTTTTCAGTCAGTAACATTTTGTATAGTAAAAACTAAAAACATTCCGTTTATCGAGATCAGCATCTTTTCTAATAGAAAAGTGAATCTAGTCGGTACTTTTGGGAAGTCGAAATCAAAAATTCCAAGTAGCTTTAAAAAGCGTCAAGAAAAACCCCCCCAAAAAAATGGTAAAATCAATTTTTGAAAAATCTTATTTTATTTTTTTAAATTTTATTAAATATTTATTCAAATTTATAAATGGTAACATTTTCCAAATATTTTAACACTTTTTGAGGTAGTTATAACTTATAGCCTTGAGAAGTTTTTCAAATTTTGTAAAAAAAATTTAAATTATTATCTGCAATGATATTTGAACTTAGTTCGTAGATTCTTTTACTTAGTAAAAAAGTTTGAAAATTTAATGCACTGTTCATTATATATTTCATTAATGTAAGTTCATAAATATTAAAGATACATAGGCACAAATATAACACATCCATTACAGTTAAATTCTCAACAACTACTGTACAGCAGTACCTACCCACTTGTCAACCTTTTTAAATGTTGGCAATAGAGCTATGACAATAGTTAATAAAATAAAATAAAAGAGTTTACAACTTTTGAGAACATACAACTTTTTTAATTATTTTTCAGGTATTTTGGATTCATTTTGTTTGTAGTCTTGTGAACTGTATTGTTTAATTTTTACTTTGCTCCTGATTCGGAAAAAATGTAATCAAAACCGGATTTACAAATAACACCTAAATGAAACACATCAGGAATTAAACTATTAACAGGAAATTATCAAAATGAATCTAAAATATTAATGTGTTCACCAACTGAAGGTTTATTAAAAACTATAACTAGTAAAACTTATTTATTTCAAGATCTCATAATCTTTGGTTAGTTATTAATTTTCTAAAGTAATCTTTTGTTATTTTAAATTAGTAATTTGATTATGTTTTTCAGAATGTTAACAATGTAAATACAATTTCTAGCCTCATGCCCTCATTGAAAGCGATTCGAGAACACATGATGATGAGTCATTGATGACAATAACACTACTGTCATGGCACGAGTACGGTCATTATGATCGTTAAATGATTCCTTCAAATTTCCATAGTAAAACCTGTATTAAGTTAGATATTTCTAATACAAGTAATTTTACTGGTAAAAGTTATAATTATTATAATTAATTGTAATAATAATTTATCTAAGTATAACTGTTTCAAAAATGATTTTTTAAATTTTGACAAATGCAATTAATGATTTGCCATTTTCACAGAAATGTTTCTTTATTAGAAAAAACTAATCACATGCAAATAAAATAATAATTTTTATAATAAAATATATTAGCTTATATTACAACTTACTACCTATTTTTAGTGAATAACATAATAATATTATTTTTAAAAAAAAACAATTGATTTTAGTTATAATAATAATAATAATAATGATGATAACAATTTATATAAATATATAATAATGTGAATTAGGTTGAGAATTAAAAAAATTTCATTGTTGATAAAAACAATTAAAAAAAAAAAAATTAAGTTTAATACTATTGATTTAATATTAAAACATTTATAATGATAATCTTCAATGGTCTTAAAATATTCATATTTTATAATACATTGTTTTATATTGATTTTGATACAGATCATTGATTATTTAAAATTCTTAACTTGGAATGTGGTTTAGTTGTTGATGATATTGATTTAATTGTTGACTGTTCATTAATTTGCTTACATGTATGAAAAATTTTAGTAACAAACAGTAGGCGAATAATGTATAAATAGTGTTCTTTGCACGGATGGCTGTCGAATGAGGGTATTATATCTGATAAAGATATTGACTGCATTAATGTTTTTACTATTCCTTTTTTACTTTTTATAGACTCCCAATTTTTTTCAAAGTATTTTAAACACATTGTACATATGTTTACAAATTCATTTGTGGGTGTCTTCAAACCTCCATGAATAACACCTCTATATGTTTTATTCAAAATCAATAATTGATTTTTGTCGTTCATTTCATCATTGTTTTTAATTAATTGTTCTAAGCAGATGTTACAGTTGAAAAAATCCAGACATTTTTTTACTAAATAACCAGCAAAGTATACAATTGAACATGTTTCTAATGTGGTTGTTTCTTCTGGAACATATGTATTTGGAGACCAATCTGAATTTGAATTTGATGATGAATTTTCTAATTCATCTAATACTTCATCTTCTTTGTGTTCAATAGTGGTTCCTTCAGTATTAGACACATCAGATAGAACATCAACTGTAAGAAAAACATCATTGTCTTCTTCACAGTTACACAACTCTGAACATTTCATAAGGCTAAATGTACAAATGTTTGCATAACAACTTCTGAACATCCTTGAAGTTGGATTACGATTATACCCGTTCTTTTGCCGCATTATAGAAAAAAGATTTTCTAGTGGGTCCTGGCATAAACGGTTGGTCAATAAGAAATACGGTTTTTCAGTATCACATTTATTCAATACATCTGATTTTTCAATTTCATACAGTGCTAAAATCGAGTTGATTGACCAAACAATTCCGGTAAAGCAAGGAGGTTGTGACTTTATATTTTTGTTTTTATGTAGTTTTTTAGCTTCGAGGAATATGTTACATGTATTTTTTAAAGTTTGAAATAAGTTTTTGTTAGCTTCACTTAGTGGCCGAGAATTAGGATTTTTGTCGTATAAGCTTTTACTGTTTAAAATATCAAAAGTGTCATTGATTTGCATTACAAATTCTGCTGTGTCTTCTGCTGTGCCTGATGTTAAGTCTCCAGTAGCGATACATGTACGAATTGATGCTGAAACTGATTTGCTAAATATTTGAGTTGCATATTTCACTGACATTTTTTGCCACGCATTTGGATGTAAATGAGTTGTTGTTATTTTTGGCATTGAACGAGCTGTCTTACTATTCACAAATTTTTTTACTGCCAATTTCTATGTCACCGTTTAATAAATTGTTACGTAAACTTTTTATGAGGTGTGGGACATCATATATTAGACATATTTTTTTACCATTAATGTCGACTATTGGGTCAGTTTTTGTCCCACCAAGTAAATCAAACATCCTACGATTTTGAGACCCTTGATCGCACACAATACCTACTGGCAGCAATCCAACTTCTTCCAGTTTTTTTATGCATTCAGTTATTATTTCAACTAGGTCTGTTCCCTTTACACCAGATCCACTAAAGAAAAATGCAAATGGAAATTTCCAATTTTGATATAGGCCACGAATCATTATTACTAAGGCATTTTTGGATGGATCTGAAGATCGTCCAAATTGCCCTAAATCTTGATAGCCTTCTATAAAATCAAGTGCTTTGTTGAATTCTAGACAATTCATTAAAGAAACTTCATCTAGTAAAACAACACATTTTTTTTGGTGGTAATTCATTGATGAAACTTTATATTTGATCTGTTGCATGTATTCAATTGGGAAACCTGGAGAATAATTAATACTTTGCAACCAACGTCTCATAGTACTTTCACCTGGTAGGGTTATTTTATTCTTACGCATATACTTATAGGTTGATGGAGATTTATAATATATTGAAAATGCAATTTTTTTTTCTTCGGGTGTCCATGGCTTTCTATTTTTATGTTGTATTTGCATGGTGACTAATGCTTTTGAATTTTGTGCTCTGAATTAAAGTTTGTGTATTATATTTTTGTTTTTTTAGTATTTTTTTGATCTTTTGTTTTTTTAAACGGCTAATAATTGCTCTTTTTCGGTTTATAATTTTTTTTTGTCTCTTACAAATATTAATTAATGTTTGATTATTAAGTTCCTTTCTTTTTTTAACTGTTGGAGATGGCATTTTACATAGCTCTTGTACCCATTTTTTTGTTCTAGATAAATCGGATGAAATACTGCTAGGACTAGGAAATATTAACTGTGGCGATGATATAGATTTCGAATTTTGATATTTTTTAGTTGGCGTTAAGACTTTAAATTTGTCAGGAGTAACTATGAATGTGCCTGATGTGGATACAATGTCAGAATAATGTAGCGTGTTGGGATTAGTAGTGCCATTAACTGTAGATGGTGAATCTATAAAATGTACATCATAATATATTAGTTTTTATTTCATTAGTGTAGATAGAATTTAAAGTAGATAATTGATAATATTAGCTTTTTTTTAATGAATATATATATAATGTATTTAATTTTTTATAGTAGCTGAAGGTAACTTTATCAATGATCATATAACAACTAACAAGTCTTGTATAATATTTTAATTTTAATTTAAGAAAATGCAATTTAAAAATTATGATAGACTAAAAAATATTATTTGTAATTAATTGAGTACTAAAGAACTCATTGAAAAAAAAAATCACTGTATAAAAATAAAATAAAATTTATTATAGCAATTATAAATTCAACCATCAAGGTATTGTTTATAAGTTTATAAAATGATAGCAGTGTCCTTAAAAAAAATTTATGTTTAATTTTACAATAAAAATCTTATGAAAACAGTAGTAATGTAAACGTTTGTTTTTCTTTAAATTTTAACCTAGATATTTATATATATATATATTTATGTACCTATATAAATTGTTTGCTTCAGATTGGTTTTTAGAATGATACCAAAAATAGGATTATGTTTTGATGGACGAAATGAACAGAAGTGTTTAGTATTTTTGGCACCAAAGGATGTCGTTGATTTTATAAAACATTTGTAGGTCAGTTGATGTAATATGGATCGGAATGTTGGGGTGTAGTCAATAAAATAGAACAGATGGTAAATGTAACAAACCAAAAATATCCAATTTAAGTTGAAGGGAGGTGGTGCAGGGAGATAGAGCACTGTTTTCATTAAAATTAATATCAAAAATATTAGTGGGCTTCACTGAGAAAACTCATGTAGGACATGTAGACTTGTAGTCCTATAGGAATACAATGATGATTGATCCTATTAGTTTGAGAAGGTGGTTGCAGAAGATAATGGTATTAATTAAAAATAAAATATTTTTTGTGGAATCTCATACCTTCGTCAAACAACAGTTTTCTTTTTGAACCTTTGTTGGTATGTTTTTCAATTTGTGCTGAATCCCATTCATTATCATTTTCAAATTTATCTGGCAATAATATATTTATTTTCTATTAAGTAAGGTAAAAAATGTATCAGATATTATATATTGTAATTTGTAACAATTTTTTTCTAAACAATGTTTTAATTGTTCTTTGCATACATAACAATATAAGCAGTGGCGTGGTAAACTGTGATTTTAGAGGAAATTGCCTCAGAGATTTTTTTTAAATAGAGGGGTGGGTGGCAGTCTGTTGGTCCCCTAGTAAATATGATAATACGATAAACTCAATAGGTAGTCATTAATGATCTGAAATATAATTAGTTATATTATATTAATACCTACATTATTATGCATTAATACTTGAGATATTTGTAACTTGCCTCTGGAAAATTTTCAGTTTGCCACGCCACTGAACATAAGTATATTTTGTCTTAAAATTACTTACCAGTATACACATTTGGAACAGCCAAAGGTTTAAGGCGTTGCCTTTGAACACTCATGTACATATTATTGTCAAAATGAACTTCACATATAAATTTTTTTTTCAACGTTCTAGGGCTTAACCCATCCAATTTAATATTTCCTTGAGTATAAAAAAAATGACCAAAGGTAATCTATATTTTTTTAGAAACAGACATAATTGTGCATTTGCATCATGTTTTTACCTGAATTCAAAATCCATTTTTTGCATACATCTAAATTTTTTGGAAAACCGTGAAACTTAATTTCACTGTTTCGTCTTTTATTGTTCCCACAGTTGAAATACACACATACATTTCCAGACATGTTTATATACTTAATAAAAGTCTTAATAAAATGTAAACTTAAAAAAGTTGTCAATCGTGAAAAAACCGTTGCAACTTTCAATGACTAGTAATTTAAAATATGCCATGGAGTTCAAATTATTATACACATAGAATTATTATTTTTTTTTCCGGTTCCATAGTTAAATTTTTTCTTTGTATATTTTAAATAATATAATTCTACTTAAAAAATATATCCAATTATTATTTATTATTATGATATGATTATTAATTAATGTTAAATTTGCACCAGTATATTATTCACAACAACAAAACATGGGGAAGTAGGTAACTGCTCTCCTATATAGTTTGTTTCGTGTATACCTCATAATTGAAAAATAAATTACTTTAATGTGAAATTTGAATTCAATGATAAACCATTGCATACGAAAAAAAAATTCTGAGCAAAGGCTGTCTGCCAGTCTGTATTACCATGTATATTGTATAATATTATTGTTATTAAAGTAATTAATTTTACTGTTATTCATAGAAATTATAATTAGAAGACAAAATTAAATATTTTAACAAAGTATTACAATTTTAATATTTTATTTTGTTATAATTGAGAAATATTATTCATGGTACTCAAAAACTCACTAGGCACAAAAAGCCCAACTAGGGGGGGGGCTAACCCCCCCCCCCAAAACTTGTAATAGGCGCCTCAAAATAAATTATTCAATTATTTCCAGAAATATAAACAAATCTTTGAAATCAGTTTTCAATCTTTAAACTGTATTTCTTATTTATTTATTTATTTTTTAAAAATGTAATTATTTAATTTTAATTTTTATATTGTTTATGATAATTAATATAGTAAATAATAAATATCTTAAGCTGTATGCTTGTATTCGCTTTAAGAAAACAATCGATGTCGGTATGATATAAATTATTTTGTATTTGGTAAGATATTATTACACATAATTTTACAGCATACCTATGCACTGAAAGGTAGGTAATAGTGGAATAAAGAGTAAATAAATAATTATTTTTTAATTTTTTTAAGTGAACATAATATATGGTGGTGTGGGGGCATGGGTTACTTTTCATGTAATGTCAGGTGGCAGCTACAGCCCCCCCCCCAACATTTCAGCCCTAGTTGTGCCATTGAAAAACATTAAATGTATATTATTACATTTTATACTTAACGAATTTAATGTCAAATGTAATATATTTTACTACATTTTTAAAAAAAGTAATTAGGCTGAATTTGGCATGGAATTGTAGCTATCTGCGGTGGTTCACTGCAATGGTCAAATATAAAACTTGACTACAAAATTACACTTTAAAAACACGAAACTAGTAAAAAATATCGTTGGTATTGGAGTTGAATTTTGAATATGTGTGTGTTACGCACAAGAATTTTACTGTCTAATATGCTAAATTAATGATTTATTAATATTAATTTTTTAGAATGTATGTCATGTATTGATAATTTATATGAGTTTAAAGATTAGTTTATCTTTAGGGAGATGTGAGTAGTTTTGGGGTGGCCTAAGTCCTGCACCCCTTCCTATGGTTACGCTTATGTAAAACACTAAGTTTAAGTACTCTCTAGCAATAGTCTAAATTAATAATATTTACACCAGAAAAAATTGTAAAATGTGTATTTATCAGCATTAAGTTATGGGTTATGCTATAATTGCTGCTGTACAACCTTAGAGTATAAATATACGTAAATTTGGCTATTTGGCCTTAGAGTTAAAGACTTCACTAAGATACCCATCGATTCTGTCTGTCATTAATTTATGATTAAAAAACTATCGTAATTTTGCAATCTGTAAGGTAATGCTTTGTTTATTAAGTATTTGTATAGTGGTTTTGTTGGTAGCTAGGTACCTTTTATTGTTTTTTACATTTTAAAATCTGAATTTTTACCAGCTGATTTTTTTTAGCATAATTTCATTAGGTACTTTAAACCATTTGGTGTTGGTGGCTGGGGTGCTAAAGTCAGTTGTGTTTTGAGACACCCCTTCCCCTCTAAGATAGTCTACAAATCAGCCTATTATATCGTATTCTGAATACGGTATTCAGCAGGCCAGATTCTATAAGTCA